GTTAGAGAAAGTCACAAAGTATTGAAGAAATCAGAAATAAATAAAATAAATTAAAAATTAAAAAAATAAATAAAAAAATGAAAAAAACGAAAAGTGTAAGCAAACTAATAAAAAAAATAAATGTAGCCCAAATCTTCATTTTTCTAAAGTAAGAATTTGTGTTCTTGCAAATTTAGAAATTGCAAAAGCTAGGTTAATATTCTTGCAAAATACTAAAAAAGTTACGAAGTGCTAAAAAAATCTGTGTTAGTTTTCTTGCAAAGTGCCAAGAAGTAAAGGTAACATTCTTGCAAAGTACTAAAATAAAATAAATTAATAAAAAATTTTTAAAAATAAAACAAAAAAAACAAAAACAAAAACACTAAATGAAAAAATAAATGAAGCAAAACCTTGCAAGAACTTGCAAGAACTTACAAAAAACTGCAAAAACTTGCAAAAACTTGCAAAAACTTTTAAAAACTTGTGAAAACTTGTACCTATTTCTCTAAAGAAACATTTCTAGAAATTTAGAAATTGCTGAAGAAATTAGTTGTATATTTTTAAAAGTATCAGAAGTCTGAGTTAGCATGCATAAGATTTTGAAAAATTATTTGTTTTCTTGCAAAGATGTTCTTATAAAGTACTAAAATAAAAATAAAATTAAATTAAATTAAAAAATAAATAAATAAAAAAAAATAAAAAAAAATAAAACAAAAACAAAAAATAAAACAAAAATAAAAAACAAAATGAAAACAAAAAAGTAAAAAAAAACAAAATAGAAGATCTAATTATAAACAAAAAATCTAATCTGATCTTGTAGTACAGAATTTGAACATTATCAAACTATTTCGAACCATTTGAACTTTTTTAAAAAAATCAGTCTAATGTATAATTCAGGTTACAGATCTATTAATTTAGCTTGGTTTCCTAGTTCTAAAATATTTTGAATAAGTTCAAAATAATTTATAATATATTTTGAAATATTTTGAAATTACTTTTGAAATATTTTAAAAATTTGATATTTCAAAATATTTTGAAATATATTACAAAATATTTTGCTTATATTATAATTCGTAAAACTTTATATAAGATTATATTATTATAAATTTGCTAATATCATTACAATATGTAAGTTCTTAATATACAAATCAATGCATTAGTTTAATTCTAATATATATACTATAAACATTTAAAATTTTAGAGTTAGCAAGAAAAAAATACATCCTGTATAAACACTATGCTAACTTTTTTAAATTCAAAACTTATAGTCTTGAATTAGAAAAAACATTAGCAAAGCACTTTATATTATATCCTGATTACTATATTAAGATCACAGAGTATAAATTAGTTATATACTGGGTTCTATATATTTAAACAGAAATTTTATTAATGTTTATACTCATGCTACCTAATATAAAACTATTACAAATATCATGCTAACTTTTTTGAATTAAAAGACACAATGCAAATTAATATATTAATATTAATTTATACTGTGTACATCATCTTTGTAGTCTGTAGTAAGTTTTTTTTTTTCAGTGATCCTGCTTTTATTATTTAAATCAGAAGTACTAGAACTTTATATTTATATTAAATATAAATTTTCTATACTATATTCCTGTACTAATAAAAACTTATATGACTATTAAAGCTTAGGTGTGACCTACCTAAGCAGCCAATTTATCTTATATTGAATTCTCAACTTTCTGAAGATTTAATTTTTCTAATTTTTGGTTAGAAGCTGCTAACCTTGTTAGCAATCACCAAATTCTTTCTAATACACCATAGCCGAGATCTTGATTTGTGATTTGATTACAAATATCTTTATTAATCGCTTTATTAATAAGAATTGTATATTTTTTTTATATCCTATTTTTTCTAATTTATATATATTCTTTTCTTCATTTTTTTTTATTTTCTGTAGCTCCTTTTATTCTTTTTTCTTTATAGTCTCTTGAAAAGTCTTTTTTTTCTTCTTTTTTTTTTTGATTTTTTTAATCTAGTTTTCTTTTTTTTCTTCTTTTTCAAACTTGTATTTAAGCTTAAATTTGTCTTCTTCTTTGTGTTAGAGCTTGAATTTGTCTTCTCTTTGATAGTCTAGTTTGTTTTCTATGATCTTGTGATTCTAGTTTGTCTATTGCTTCTTCTTAATTTTCTGTTGCTTTGATTTATATATTTCTTTTTCAAGTGTATCTTCTCTTTTCTTTAGTTTCATTATTCTGATCTTTTATATTAGTTAGATACTGTTTTTCTTCTTTCTTTCTATTCATCTACTTTGCTTTTTTTCTTTTTTTAAAAATTTTTCTTTTTTATTACGAGTTATTGTTATCTCTTGTATATTAGTATTTTGTGTTTCTATTTTTTTTTTTAGATGTTTCTTTTTTCTTCTTTTTTTCTAATTTGTTGTTCTTCTCTTTTGGTTAGCTTGTTTTTCTTTCTTTTATTTGTATTGATTCTGTTTATTTTTTCTTTTTATTCTTTTCAGTAAAGCTTAGATGCTCTTTTTTATTTTTTTTATAGCTATTTCTGTCTTTTTAGTACTAGGTAATATACTTGTTTCTTCTTTTTAGATTTTTTTTTTTTCTATTTCCAGGTTTGTATTTCTTTTTGCTTTGCTATATTTTCTTTTGTGCTAGATTTTAAGTTATTTTAATTTTTTTTTAAGTTATTGTTGCTTTCTATGATTAAATCTCAGTCTTTTTGTTTCTTTTACAGCTTCCTTAAGACTTTTTGTAAATTTTATATTTATGCTATATTTTCTGTATATAATATTTCTCTGTAAATTATACTTTGCTTTGCTCTAATTATCCTATATTGTATTTCTTTATTAATTCTTTTCAAGACTTTCTTTATTTTAATACTTTCTATATTATTTTCTATAGTTTTCTTTGTTTTTGTCTTTAGTAGCTATTTCTAGTTTTTTTTTCTTCTTGCCAATTTTCTTAGTGTTTTTTGCCTTAGACTTAAATTTTTTGGCCAATTTTTGTATTATTTTCTTGTTTTTTTTAATTTGTTTGTTTCTTCTCTATTTGTCTAGATTTTTTATATACTGTTTTTCTAGTTTTTTCTTATATTGTTTCTTGAATAACAATAAATAGTATATCATAGTATTTAGTATACAAAATTCTTGTCTTGTAATATCTAGCAAAATAGCCTTAATTTTGCTCTTCACAATGAAGTTGTGATATTTATACTCTAATTTTTCTTCTGTATCTTTGCTGTATTATTTTTTATATTTTTGTTTGTATTCTTCTAAATCATCTTTGTCTACTTTCTTTAATAAGTTCTCTAATACATATCTTGTAGCTACCCAAATTTATAATCTTTGTTTATTTTAAAATTTTTCTTTTTCGGTTTATTTTATATAACTCAGTTTTTCTATTATTGTTGTTTTTCTTGTTGTATTTATTATATGCTGCTTTACATATTTGTATTGTTTTTCTTTTGTTACATATTATATAGTTGTGTTATATTAACAGATTTGCACTACAGAGTCAAGTATTTTTTCTAAAAAATTGCTTATAGATGATAAAAAACTGCTATATTTTTAAGTTTTTTTCTATATCTTGATGGGTTTTGACTTTTTAACTCTAGCCTTCTAAAAGACAAAGTGTTGTTTTGTATCTTTTTTTTTAATAGCATAAGCTTTGCTTCTTAGTGCTATTCTCAAGTTTTGTTAGTTTTGTGTTTTGTTTTTTATAAAAATTTGTGTTTTAATGATATATTAGAATAATTTATAATTAACTTATTTTGAAAATAAGTAGATACAAAATATCTTATTTTTGTTTTGAATCAAAAAATAAAATAGAAGTTATTTGAAACTAAAATAAATAGCTTTTTTTTTAATAATGCATTGTTATTATATAATATTACTGTAAAAAATAATAAAGAATTACAAATTATTACTTAAAATATTTTTTAATTCTCAAGTAATATTGTATAATTATAACATAATATGCTTTATAAAAAAATTTAAACAAACTACTAAAGAAAGAACTAGAGAAAAAATTATAAGAAATTGAAAATTTTTTCACAAATAGTAAGATATTAATCAAATTGTTATTATATAAATAAGCTTATAAATCAAAATAAATAAAATTTATAAATCATTGATTTTAAAATAAGAGTTAATATAGATATACCCGTAGAGTACATCTATAATTTTTGTATCTATTATTTTGATACATATCAGAGTTATTAAATTGTATCTGTATAATGATACTACATACAAAAATAGTAATATTGATATTGTTTGCTAAGTTTGGAAATCAAATACAAAACGTTCGATCACATTGATCATATTTTATCAAAAGTCTTTTACTTGAGCTCAAACCGAATTATTCATTAACTTTGTATATACAGACTAGTTTTACTATATACCGTTTTTTTAAAGCTTACTTCAAATGTTTAATCATATTTTAACTTTGCATATACAGGATAGTTTTACTGGATAATGTTTTTTTTAAGCTTACTTTAAATATTCGATCATATTTTATTAAATTTTTTCACTTGAATACCAAACGTATTACTCATTAACTTGGCCTATATAGGCTAGTTTTACTGTACACCTATTTTTTTAAACCTTTGAACTGCTCGTGTGTTTTCTTATACTGTGTTATGCAATTTCGTTATTTCCTGCTAAATAGTATTTGCCAAATTTTTTTTAATCATTATTTTCTTTAGTTGTATTCTTTCACTCATGTTAGAAAGTTTAAGTAACTTCTTTTTATAAGCTATAACCCACAAACTATCTGTTTATCCACCTTTCTTTGGTATCTAAAATTGGTTTTAAAAAAATCAGATTGTTAGAACTGTATTCATAAAAATGGAAAATGAAAACAGCTTTGAACTCACTAAAGAACACTCTTCAAATATTGAATTACAGTAAGCTAAGCCTTTTTTGAATTGCTTTTGGTTTAAAGCCATCTCAAATATATTCTAACTAAACTTAATAATAGTAATGAAGATTTAGCTATTGTAATAGATAAACAAATAGTTGGCAGTTAGGATGAACTCGATTTTGTTGAATTATAGTAAGTTAAGTCTTCTTAAGTTATTTTTGGTTCAAAGCTGTTTTAAATATATTTTAATTAAATCTAATAATAGTAATGAGAATTTGGCTATAATAGTTGGTGAACCAGGAGTTAGACAAATAGTTGACAATTGGGATGAACTTGATTGTAATAAATTATAGTAAGTCAAGTTTTGAATTACTTTGGTTTAAAGCTGTTTCAAAGCCATTTTAAATATATTTTAATTAAATTCAATAATAGTAATAAGGATTTGGCTATAATAGTTGGTGAACTTGATTGTAATGAATTATAGTAAGTCAAGTTTTGAATTACTTTAGTTTAAAGCCATTTCAAATAAATTCTAATCAAGTTTCAATAAAAGTAATGAGGATTCAGCTAATATAATGAATGAATTAGCAGCTAGACAAATATTTGGAAGTTGAAATGAACTTGATCGTTTCATATCTTTCTATGCAAAATCACAAAATTTTGTGAATGTTATATGTGAGTTAGAATACAGTGATAGGATTTGTCGAAGCCGCCGATATGTTTGTAAGCACCAGAGTTATATTGGTATGAACAAAACTAGCATTGCTAAAGATCAATAACAGACACAAAGTAAACACACTGGGTGTTGCTAGCAAATTTATGCTAGTTGTCCTAAAATGACAAGTATATTGAGGATTAATTCAGTCTGTTTGAATCATAATGATCACTAAATAAGGGATGAAACTAACAAATTTGCTATGAAATATCAGGAATTTTCTGAGAACATGCTAAAAGATATCAAATTTTGAACTGAAATCGGAAATATCAATATGAGAACACAATATCAAATATTAGTAAAGCAATATCTGGATGTTTTCTTTTTGTCTCAAGATCTTTCAAATACTATCCAGACCTTCAAGTAAAAAAAATAATATTAAATATAAGGCGGTCACCTTACTTAATAATCTTTTGAAGCATAACGCCAAAGACAGTAGGTAGATTATAAATTAGAAAATCAATCCTGCCAATAATTGTCTTACTTTATTATTTTGGATATCTTCTGATCAATATGATTTATATATATAATACCGAAATGTTGTTCAACATGATAACACTTATTCAACAAACTAGTTTAAAATAGTATTAGATTTTTTTAATAGTGGACAATAACAATAGATCATGTTTAATAGGGCAAGCCCTTATGAATGATGAAATGACTGAAAGCTATAAATAGATTTTTCAATCTTTAATAACAAATATCAATATTGTACCTTTGATATTAATAATAGATAATGATCTTGCTGTTAATGCTGCTATTGCCAATATTTTGCCTAATACATATTACGTTCATTGTATATTCTATATAGAGCAAAATTTAATAAGAAATTTAAAAGGGAAATTAGGTGCATGTTATAACAAATTTTCCAAACATTGGTATCAAATACGCAATTCGCTTTCATATCAACAATTTGATTCTTTACGGAATAAACTTTTAACAAACTTCCCAGATGCTGCATCATATCTTAATCACGTTCTTCTTAATGAAAAACAATATTGGGCCCTTTGTTATGTTTCTAAAGTTTTTACTGCTAGCATGCAGTCAATACAACAAGTTAAAGATCAAAACGCTATTATCAAGAACTCAGTAAATAGCAGTATATCTTTAATTAATCTTGAAAAACATACTAATAAACAAATTAATTGTGGTTCAATATAAAAACTAGATTCATTCTATTACTAGGCCAACGCTTATTCATGCTAGTTCAGAATTTTCACCCAAGATTGACAAATAGATTACTACTTATTTAACACCAACTTCCTTATCTATACAGTAGCAGGAAATTGCCCAGGCTATATAGTATATATTACAATGTATTGATAACTTTCAAGGGTCAGGATTGCAATTCAATTTAAATAAACAGTCCAATTTAACTAAACAAACTGATCAGTTCGATTTAAATGAGGATTTTAATATTTTTGTTAAAGATTATATTGATATACCTGCTATTTTGGTTAAAGAGTTAATACTATCTACAAAAGTTGATTCAATCTGTGAAATTTGGGAAGTTACCTGGCATAGACGCAATAAAAAAAACTGTATTATTGTTTCAAGATAATTCACATTTATGTACATGTCTTGGCTTAGTTCAATGTAGTTTGGTTTGTAGACATTTTTTTAAAGTCATGACTATATCTAACTATGCTGTATTCCATATTATGCTTATATTAAAAAGGTAGTATACAGACAAAAAGCAAATTGAATCTGAATCACAAATATGGCAACATCTATTTATTATTAGATTGGGT